CTGAAAGAATCATGCTGGGTAGAATGAGTCAGAGGGTGAGTGACTGAATCATCTCTCAATGTGCAGGATCTAAAGAAAAGCATGGGATGGGATGGGAGGATGGTCTAGTATATGCAAGTCACACACTCACACACATTTATACACACACACACAAGCATAAACGCAAGCAAGAAATAAACCCAAGACATAGTAGGGGACTCGCTGATGCCTGGAGGCAGTGACATGAAGAGCAGGACTTTCCTTATAGGAAGCTACAACACCATCAAGAGGGTAGTGGCCACTCTGGACAAGACTTGGCGTGGAAAGGTGGTCAGACAGCGTGCATTGCGCCTTATCAGGGACAGACTTACAAGCCCCAGTGCCCAAAGAGGGGAAAAGAGAAAGAAAATAGTGCCTTTCGAGAGGTGTTTGGGGACAGGAGGGAAATGGGGGGAGAGGTAGGAGAGGCCACTGTGAAAGGATGGTGTTGGGGCATTGTTAATTGTCAATCATGAATAACTCTGAATTCACAGTGGTGCAACTAAAATATTTAAAAAAAATACCCCAATAGCTTTGTCTATAATGATCATAAGAGCCATTCTTTCTGTCTCCACTCAAACCAGGTTTCTTCACAGGGAAACTGTCACTGGAGTTTGACGGTGCCAACATACGTGTCCACTTAGACATTCCTTAGGCCTTCTCAACGTGTTCTCTTTCCTTTTTATAAAAATGCATTTAAGCTTTTGCTAGTAGGCAAAATTCACGTGGTTCAAAAATTCAAAAGTGAGAGTTTTTCTTCTCCAATTCCTAGCCATTTATTTTGCTTCCTAAAGTAATCATAGATACTAGATTTTTGTGTATTCTTATAATGATGATTCTTTGTGAGTATATGCAAACTGGTATATAAACCATTTTTAACATTAATGGAAATATTGCACGGCAGAGCCTGGCAAGCTACCCGTGGTGTATTTGGTATGTCAAAAACAGTAACAGTTACGGTCTCATTCCCCTGACCCTGCATGAGCTTCCAGTACGGCAGCATTGGGAAAGACGCGTAAGGAGAGGCTGCTAAAATCTCAGGGCTGAGATGAATGGAGACGTTATTGGCGTCCGCTTGAGCAAATCGATAAACAACGGGATGACAGTGATACAGTGATGGAAATATTGAAATGATGCACATTAGTATAAATTTTATTTTTTGATGTTTATGACTGAACAATACTTTGTGGTTGTGTCATATTCTTTGCAGTGGTCTCCTGCCAGTGTTGACGTGGGTTGTCTCTCTGTCTTTGGCCAGTCTAGTAAATACTCGGTGCTGCATTCATGTGTGCGTTTGCATCACTCTAAGAGAAATATCTGGTCACGTGATATTCGCTTGTGAATGTTTTTTCATTTCAATCTTGGGGCCACACTTGGCAATGCTCAGGGCTCACTCCTGGCTCTGTACCCAGGGATCTCTCCTGGTGGTGCTAAGAGAACCGTCTGGGATGCTGGAGTTTGAGCTTGTGTCTGCTGCATACGAGGTAAATGCCTTCCCCTGTGCTATCGCTCTGGCCCTGGCGCTTTTGAGATTTTGATGGTCTTTTCTACTGTTTGTTTCCTCTTGCTTGATACAATAGGATTTTTTTACATGTCACTTCTGTGTCTTTATCATGTGCCTTCCTGACTTATGGCATTTGCCTTGTAGACATCATCTCTTCCTTTTTTTTTTTTTTTTTTTTCTTTTCGGTGGCAACTGGCTCAGGTTCAATAACTGGCCCCTCATATGGTCCCACCAGAAGTGATCCCTGAACACAGATCCAGGAGTAAGCCCTGAGCACCTCCAGTGTGGATTCCCCCCCAGTCCTCTTCCCCCCCCCAAAAAAAAAGGGACCTCATTTATCTCTTTGAGATTCATCTAATGCAAACATTTCTCCAGAAAGAAAAATCTCTTGATATTCAAATCAGGTCATTCGGGTCATTGTCTTTTTCTCCTTTTCATAGAAATTGTGTACTGTCTCTGCTGGATAATTTCAGGTACCCAATGCCCAGGCTAGAACTCTGGTGTTTTTGGAGTTAGGGTGGGCAGCCTCTCCCCACCTCCCACCCCCTGTATTTCCCGAAATCCCGGCAGCCGCACTCACCTCCCCTAACTGCTGCCATGGCAACTCACTGGACCATTGATCCTGAAGTCTCTGGACACTTCCTAACTCCTCAATACTGACATCCCAGTAGGAGCATATCAGATTAAATGGGAAAGTAACATAGAAGCTAACTAAACTCAATAAACAACAGTAACACAGAAAGCTCAACTAGCAACAGACAGCTTAGTAAATCTTTAGACAAGGACTAACAATTCTCTGATAAGGTGCAACAATTTTCACATAAATTAATTTTTGTTTAACCCTTATGGAAAACAGTATGGAGGGTACTCAGTAAACTCAGAATTGAGCTCCCCATATGACCCTGAAATTGTACTTGGGGGTTTCTATCCTCAGGACTGAAAATGTTTCATTCAGGAGAATGTATACACACAACGTTATTCATTGCAGTACTCAGGAAAGTAAGATTTGGAGTCAGCCTAGTTGTCCAGTAACATAAGTGGACCGTGAAGATCTGGTACATACACATATTAATAATGGAACGCTGCCCGGCTGCAAGGAATGATGAAATCCTGCAATTTGCCACAACATGGATGGAACTAGGAGACATCATGTTAAATGAAGCCAGCCAGAGAAGGATAAACGCGGGATGACGCTGTAGCTTATCTGTGGTATTCAGAGTAACTGGATGAAGGAATATAATGCTTTAAAGGGGATGACCGTCTCAACCTTGGCCCCAGAGTTTAGGGAGAAGAGACAGATGAGAAGCAGTGGCGACCGGCTCAGGGGAGTCAGGTACAGAGGTGGGGTTAAGGAACGGTAGAGCCAAACTGCAGAGTTAACCATACTGAAATTAAGAGACCCAGACTTGAACCGAACTTGGGAAAGGCGCCTGTCTGGAGGGCAGGCTGGAGGGAGGAGATGGGATGAAACCCGGGGAAGCTGGTAGAGGGAGGGTGATGGTGGTGGTGGGATTAGTGCTGAATGTTTTATATCTAAAACTAAACGGAGAATAACTTGGTAAATCATGGTGCTTTAATAAAAAAAATTAGTTTTTGTTTTTTTTTTAATACTTACCTATTTCAATATTGGAGCTTTGTTACCTGATCAGTTTCAGCTCTAGAATTGTATCAACAGTGTGGCTTTTGTCTACATCAAAAAAATTTTTTTTTGAAATGTATTTGAAAAAAAGCATCAGCGCAGATTTTTAAAAGAAATAAGTATGTGTTTGATGAGAATAGTATGTGTTTGATAGTTCTCGTACTAACTGATTAGTTGACTAGGTTATTTTGGGGGAGAGAATGAAACTTTTTTTATGTGACTCTCAGCTAATTTGTAAAATACAAATCTTACCTTTGAGAAATAAAACCAGTGTACTTTTTTTGGTTTTGTTTTGGTTTTGGTTTTGTGCTACACCTGTTACTGCCCAGGGATTCCTCCTGATGGGGCTCAGGGGACCGTACAGGAGATTGAGTCTGGGCCAGCCACCTGCAGGGCAAGCTAAGCACTTTATCCAGTGTGTTCTCTCCAGCACAAATATGGGTATTTTTTTTTTACACATCCTTAGATACAGAAAATGAGCTACCAACGTTGAAATCATTTTTTTTTCCGTTGAAATCATTTTGACAAAGAACTTTAACATTTTTATTCATGAGGCTTACAATACTCAAACATATATTGATTGTTGATAGACATAATATAGAAAAAGTTGTGAAATGCTAAAAGGACCTCTGATTTAAATTTATACTGATTAAATTGTTTTTTATAATTTGCATGAAAAGTTCCCGGAAAGGGAGAAAAACCTATTGAGGGACCCACCAAGGCAGTGGCGGGACAGACAGAGCTTATCAGTGGGCTGTGTGGTATTAGATATCGTATGTATGAATCTCACCACTAACAGTACTGTAAAATAGTGCCTCAGATAAGTTAAAAACAAAACGTACACAGAGAGAGTTGTCAAGTGACGGAAAAGGGTAAACACTGTCAGAATATTTTGTTTTGGGGATCACTGCTTGAAGAGCACTGTCAGTTTTGACTTAAGACCGGGCCAAGAAAATTGTGACTGATAATTATATTTTTTATCTTTATTGATGATGAGTTCTAGTACTGTTAATGATGGTGTGTGTGTGTGTGTGTGTGTGTGTGTGTGTGAGTGAGTGAGTGTGTGTGTGTGTGTGTGTCTTGAACACCACACCCCCCCATTCCCTCCTGGCGGCCATTAGGGTCTGTGTTGCTAGGGAACAGATTCGAAGCAGACCTTTGCTGGAAAAATGCAGGCCACGGTCTTTTCTGCCCAGAGTTTTACGAAAATGCTTCCCATATTGTGCCTTTATTTTATTTTGGGCTTCCTGGACAGAGCTTGGGACCTGGGCCCTCTGCGGTTGTACTCGACAGGAGCTTGGGGCTGGTGACGGGGGGCTGTTTGGGCCCCGAGGTGGTGAGGGGCTGCAGTGATCCCCCCCGCTGTGCTCCGTGACCCTGAGCAGGCCCAGCCCGACTCCAGCTGCCTGAGTTCTGCCTGTGAGGGTGATTGCGTTTAGCTGCATCAACTGCCTTCCAGCTGTGCTGGCTTTGTTTCTGTCATCTCCAGCAAGTTCTCTTGTCTTCGTTCCGTGTAAACGTGAGAATCACGGATGCTTTCCTGTCCAACAGCAGGAACCTCTGAAGTCACCCCAGAAAACACTCTGCAGAAACTCCAGGTTAGGGACAAGGCCAGTCACCCTCGATGGCCCTGTTTTCTTGTCTCTGAAGGGAAGTAGTTGAGGCCACTGAAAGCTCATTTAGCTGCTTTATGTTGTTTGTCTTTAACTTTAGTTCTCTCTCGATGAGAATTTGCGTGTGAGTCGTGTGGTCAGAGGATGAAAAGCTGGGGCCTTGAGGGCCCTGAGCGGGGCCCATCCCTATATTTGTCCTCCCATGACAGACTGTTTGTCCATGCAGGGGCTACCAGCAGCAGGACGCCCACGAGTTCATGCGCTACCTGTTGGACCACCTGCACCTGGAACTCCAAGGCGGCTTCAACGGGGTCTCGCGCTCAGCCGTCCTGCAGGAGAACCCCACGCTGTCTGCCAGTAACAAATGCTGCATGTAAGTTCCGGTCCCGATATCAGAGACCCTGGGCTCTCCTGTCCCTGCTCGTGCCCACCAGGGCTTATAATGAAAGTGGACAGTTGTGGGCTGTCGCTGGACCCTGCTGTACCTGGCCAATATGGCCAGGTGGGCATTGGTTGCTGCTCCCTGACTGCAGGCCACTTGTGTTCACATCTCGGTGTCCCTCGACTGTGATTTGCTTTCAGTGCTTCTGAATGGAAAAACCAATAGAACATATTTGTGCAATTAAGCAATTAAAATTTCTTCTTCAAAGGGGCTGGAGCCATAGTACAGCAAGTAAGGGGCTTGCCTTGCACGCAGCTGACCCCATTTTAGTCCCAGCACTTCTTACAGTTCCTGGGCACTGCCAGGAGTGATCCCTGAGCACTGCCGGGTATGGCCAAAAACCAAAAAGGAAAAAAAAATTTTTTTTCCTTCAAAGAAAATTGAATGAAGACTTTTAGTTTTTATGTATTAAAATGATTGTATTTATTCACTAAAAGTTAGGCTTTTACGTATACTTTTACGTATGTGAATTTTCCTAATGAATCTCTTGAACTTGAATATTCTTAAAGTGTATTTTTTCTTTAATGATATCAAGGCATTTGTAAATTCTCCATCATTTTCTGTACCTCTCAATCTGAATGAAAACCTTTTCAATTGCTTTCTGGGTACGAATGCCCCAACATACATTGAGATTACAGTGTTGTTTTGCTTGAGACAGCAGTGTTACTTCTGTCATGTTACTGTTACTTCAACCTGGATTTTGGCTAATTGTAGTTATTCTTTTGTTTCAAAGTGCTCTGATGCATGCAGGAAAGGGAATTAAAAGACACACTCCCCAAAATAAAAAGAGAAGAGTAAATGATGTGCCAGAGTCTAGATTGTGGCCTGAAATTCCCAAGTCTGATATAATAAGACAGTGAGGGTTTTACAGAGACAATCTTATCAGTTCTTCTGCCCAGAGCAGTGGGAGGGTGACAAGATGAATGTCGTCAGACATTCAGGTCCTGGGGCTGTGATTGCAGTCAGAAAGAGTCACGGAAAGGGGTGACATTGCTCAGGTCACCCTGTGTACACTTTAGTAAGTATTAAATCAGCAATGGTGTCAAGTGAAAATGTATTTTGTTTTATAATGGGGAATTCATTCACAGAGGATTTTGAATTGTGTTCTAAATATTAGACAAAAATATGCTACATAGCTGGTCTCTATCAGTGATTCCCAGGGCACCCTCACGAGTCACGTTGTGTCATACTCAGAGATGTTCTTTAAGTTGCTAATGTTCTTTCAAATCCTTTATGATATTTAAAAGACCAATATTTACACATCCCATGAGTGAATTAACAACCTGAAAGGAGGGCTGGGATGGTAGTACAGTGGGCGTTTGCCTTACACGAAGCCCCCATGAGCTCCATCCTCAGCACCCCAGACGATCCCCTGAACCCCAGCCAAGAGTGATCCAGGAGTACTTAAGCCCTGAGCACTGCTGGGTGTGGCCATTAAAACACACACACACACACACACACACACACACACACACACACACACACACGAGAAAAGATTTGATACTCAAAATTCAGGGTTTCTAAATTTTCTTTGATGAAAGATGTACCTCAGAACATAAGAGTCATATTTAATAATCCTAAAAGTATAGATCCCATTGTGTTTATGTGAACAGCCAACCCTAGCTGATGGTGGGGATGATAGTCTGGGAGAAATAAATGGCAGATGTTTTCTTTTTTAGCACCTAGAAAATAATTTATGCAAAAATCATCTACACAAGAACCCTGTCCAGCTGTTTAGTGGTGTTCAGTTGTCTTAGCTATAGTGTGCCTATTTATCTATCTACACACACACACACACACACACACACTATATATTGCATATATGCACTATGTATGTGTATATAAGTATATGTTTGTATATATAGTGGAGACCTACTACATATATACAGATAAACACATTATAGATAGATAGATGTATAGTGAAGATGTCAGTGACCAAGGTGTAATAAATATTTTCACTTAAAGTCAATATTGTATGTATACTTTATTTTCAATAGATATTTTTAGGGTATGTCCTTTTATTTTATTTTTTATTTTTATTTATTTATTTATTGCCTTTTTGGGTCACACCCAGCAATGCTCAGGGGTCTCTCCTGGCTCTGCACTCAAGAATTACTCCTGGTGGTGCTTGGGGGACCATATGGGATGCCGGGGATCGAACCCGGGTCGGCCGCTTGCAAGGCAAATGTCTTACCCCCTGTGCTATTGCTTGGGCCCCGGGTATGTCCTTTTAAACCTTAAACATGAATTGGTGATTATATCCAAGTTCCCAGTGTATCTCTCATTTTTTCTTTCATTTTCAAATAAAAATCTCACTTCTTAGGGACTTTTAAAAAACTGTAGTATATTTGTTTTGCTGTTAAAGAAAGGAAGGAAGCCTTTTGTAGAAGAGAAAGCAGACTTTTAAAATAATAATCACGCAGGTCTGTTTGGGCAGCCTCGTGCTTGTAGTGGTTTAGTTTGGAGCAGCTCAGGGTCTGTATGCGGTCCACCCAGTCTGTCCACACCGTGGGATGGCCCTCACGTATGGCCATGGGTCAGTCTGAGGACAGAGCCAGGATTAGCCTCTGAGCACTGCCCCAACATTCCGTCCCCTCCCAAGTGAAAAGAAAGTATACTTCGAAGTAGTCGGAGTATTACTGAGTGTAGGGCCAAGACATCTTAGATTGCTGTTAGCATACAAGAGCAGTTATTAGTGCAGAAGCTCTCTGTATGCACAGAGATGATAAGAGAATGTTCATATTGGTTCTGCTAATGAACGCAGATGATTCCAGTGACCTCAGCCTCCATTAACACTGGATTGGTTAATGTAAAAGAAGGGCTAGTGTCAGAGCAGGCAGGTCCCTCAGATTCCCAGCGTGGGAGATGGGGGCAATCCTTGATGCTCTCTGGAGGAGGTGTGAGGACTGACTGATGGAACAGCTAGGAGGTGCTCAGAATGGAGCTTGGCATTTGGCACAGACTAAGCGCCATCCAGGTCTTTGCTAAGCATGTTCTCATGGGTGCACTTTCTCCATTTTTTTTTCTATCATTTAATGTCCTGTGACATACTGTGTAGTTGTTGAAGAGTGATTTAGGGTTTAAAATAGAAAAATTTGGGCCCGAAGGAATTTGGGGTGGAGACAGGGCACTTGCCTTGCATGTGGCCAACCTAGCTTGCACGTGAGATATATTCCTGATGCCCCTTATGATCCTCTGAGTCCTGCCAAGAGTTTATCCATGAGTGCAGAGCCAGGAGTAAGCCCTGAACACGGCCTGATGCGGCCCCAAACCAAAAAACAAAAAGAAAAATTGGGGTATGATCCTAATAAGAAAGCTGTAAAGCACTAAGAGCTTTTCGTTCCTTCAGTGTTCTTTGAAAGTAGTATTCTAGATACTGACTTTATCTTCACACCAGGGCTGGGGGGTAGACAAAATGTTGTTCCTGTTTTACATTTAGTTAGATTGATGCAGAGAAAGGCTAAGTAACAGTCTTACTGCTCTGAAGGTGGTAAATGTTCTGTTTCCACAAGAATGTTACTTACAGTTTTTGTTTTTGGTTTTGTTGTTGGGACAGTGCTCAGAGCCCAGGATCAAATTAATCAGAGCCCTGGTTGAACTGGAGATCAGTTGTATTGGTGTCCTCTGGTGTATTGAACCTGAACCTTGCTGTCTAAACTCTCTCCAGACCTACAGAATCGGTCGTTTTAGAGGGGTGGGGAGGTTTGGGCCCACACCTGGCTCTGCTCAGAGATTCCTTCTGACTTTGTATTCAGGGGACCCTATGCAGTGCTGGGGATTGAACAGGGACTATAACGCCTGTACTGTAACATCTCTGACCCTTGTAATTTTAGTTGAAGTTTTAAAAAGACTTAATTGAACTCGAAGAGTATCCGGCACTTAAGTTATGAAGTCATAGCTCTACCAGTAGTGACCTTATATGTGTTAAATTTTTTTCACTGCTTTGTCTCCCTTCCAGTCAGATAAATGACTGTCTAAAAAAATCTGAAGTAATCTCTAATTGAGGTTGTTTCAAGTAAACTAACTGAGAGAGCTCCCTCTATCAGAAAGCTTGCAAAGACTCCCTCAGTCAGAAACGTTGCAAAGATTTAATTATAAGGCAGCTTCCTTAATTTTGAGGGATGTATACGAAGGACATCTTCTTGCCAAGAGTATAAGGATTATACGTGAGTCATTAGTTTGTAAATATCCAGTGATGCTGCTTTCAGAGAATGTACATGGATTGGAAGGAACAGGCTTTAACCTTTGATTTAGTCACTGTCACTGTCCTCCTGTTATTCATCGATTTTCTTGAACGGGCCCAGTAACATCTCCATTGTGAGAGTTTGTTGTTACTGTGTTTGGCATGTCGAATATGTCACAGGGAGCTTGCCAGGCTTTGCCGTGCGGGTGAGATACTCTCGGTAGCTTGCTGGGCTCTCCGAGAGGGGCAGAGGAATTGAACTTGGGTCAGCTGTGTCGGCTGCGTGCAAGGCAACACCTTACCCACTGTGCTCCAGCCCCTTTGATTTAGTACATAGCTAGTACATAGCTAAATATATTGAACATTTTGTATTATTTTGTAACTTAAATAAAAGGTGGTATACATCCTAAGGGAAACTTTACACATTAATTTTTTAATGAAGTGTTCTTCTTTGTGGTGATTTTCTTTAGAAATGGAGCATCTACAGTGGTCACGACTATCTTTGGAGGCATTCTGCAGAATGAGGTTAACTGCCTCATATGTGGAACAGAATCTAGAAAGTTCGATCCATTCCTAGGTGAGAAACATTTGGCATGTGGAGATATGATACCTTTTAAAGATGAAAGTTCTGATGTTCATGAAATACTATGAGGATGCTGAAGAAACCTTTTTTAAAAATACAACACATTTTGAAATTTGTTTGAAATATGTTCATATGCCTTTAATAACACTCTTTCTATTTCCTTTCTAAGACCTTTCATTAGATATTCCAAGTCAGTTCAGAAATAAGCGTTCTAAGAATCAAGAAAATGGACCAGTTTGTTCATTACGAGGTAAAATGTTTGAATGTTTAGAATTAATTTTTCCTACTTGAATTGCTTGAATAGATTTATAAGCCCTTTCTATATGTGCTGTGTTATTCGCTTTAGTGACTTTGTACTTTAGCTTAATAGAAGTCAAATTTGTCTTTTTGATTCTAAAAAACTTTTTTGACTAGAATGCATGCCAGAGATGTTTGATCAAGCACAAAAATATTCTTACACTTCTTTTCTTTTTAATAATGGTTTTAAATTAGAAGTCATAGCCCAAACTCTTTCTGACCTAATTAAACAGAATTTAATGTTTTTATATGTGGTATTTGGGATCAAGCTCAGGGCCTCATAGAAGCAAGACAAGCTCTGTCACTGAGCTGTGAACCTGGGTTTCAAACAGGATTTATCTTTTTTTAAAAATTTTTTAATTTATTTTTTGTTTTGGGGCCATACCTGGCGGTGCTTAGGGCTTACTTCTGGCTAAGCACTCAGGATCACTCTTGGCGGGGCTCACGGTGCCAGGTTAAACCCCGGGTCAGCCGTGTGCCAAGTAAGCATCTTAGATCCTGTGCTTCTCTCCAGCCTCGCCTGAGTCCCGGCAAACAGCAAGCAGGCAGTAAATGGAATTATTACTAAATAAAAATAAAGTACTCATTTTAAGTTCCTTTAAGGAATCTGGATGGTTTTGGTCAGAAACCTTATAGTATTGCACCTGCTGTACTATTGTTCTGGTCCCTAAAAAATTTTCTTAGTTTTATTTATTTGGTTTTTGGGCCACATCTGGCAATGCTCAGGGGTTCTTCCTGGCACTGCACTCAGGAATTACCCTTGGTGCTCAGGCAACCATATGGGATGCCCAGAATTGAACCCAGGTCGGCCATGTGCACGGCAAAGGCCCTGCCTCCTGTACTGTCTCTCCAGTCCATAAAAAAATTCTATTTGAAATTGCAAACAGTTCGGCAAACAGAGGTCACATGTGACTGTTAGAATTAAAACGAAAAATTCAGTTGTTCAGTTCTAGTGCATTTCAGGTACTCTGTAAGCACACATGGTTAGCAGCTGTTGCTGAAACAACCCAGATGCAGAAGTCTTTTAAACCATCCCTGGTATGGACTCAGAATTTTCTTGAGAAATATTTGGTTCTGTTGGGGGAAGAGCAGGCGGCTCTGTGTCATGGGCCCATTTTACAACATTCGGCTTGGTAAGAGGAGCTGCCTGAATGGCTGCAGGGCTGGATGCAAAGCGACTTTGTATTTGTGGATATTCTGTAGCAGCTTTCAGATTGTCCTCGGCCTCTGCAACAGTATTTCCTGACTCCTTGAATATGAGTAAGAAGAAACTTCAGCCCCATTCACTTGACTTTCCCTTAAAAATATACGAGTATAGGGGCTGGAGCGATAGCACAGCGGGTAGGGCGTTGGCCTTGCACTCAGCCAACATGACCGACACAGGTTCAATTCCCAGCACCCCATATGGTCCCCTGAGCACCGCCAGGAGCAGTTCCTGTGTGCATGAGCCAGGAGTAACCCCTGAGCATCGCTGGGTGTGACCCAAAAAAAGTGAAAAAAAAAAAGAGTATAATGGCTGGAGCAACAGGACAGCAGGCAAGGTGCTGGCTCTGCACACAGCTGACCCTGGCTTGATCCCCCAGCATCTCATGGTTCCCCAAACCTTCAGGGATTCCCAGACTCCTGAACATAGACCTAGGAGTCAGTCCTCAGCATTGCAGGGCGTGGCCCAAAAACAAAAACAGAGACAGAGACATCGATTGGCTAAAAGTTGTTTTCTAGAAATGGTTTTTTAACCTACTTGATATTTAGATACTATCACAATATACTTTACATTAGAAATTTTTCTTATATATATTATATGTACATAATATATATGGCATGCAAATTTAAGTTAACTTAATCATAAACGTTGGCTGGAGCAATAGCACAGTGGTAAGGCCTTGCACACGGCCGACTTGGCCCACCCAGGTTTGATTCCTCCGCCCCTCTGGGAGAGCCCAGCAAGCTACCTCGAGTAATTCACCTGCATGGCAAAGCCGGGCAAGCTCCCCGTGATGTATTTGATATGCCAAACACAGTAACTACAAGTCTCACAATGGAGACGTTACTGGGCCTGCTCGAGCTAATCAATGAACAATGGGAGGACCGTGGTACTGTGCCGTTAGAAAATCAGTCAGAAATCTCTTTTTTTGGTTTTTGCTCACTCCTGGTGCTATTCAAGCTTCTTCCTGATTTGGTGCTGGGGAACCATTTGGTGCCAGGGATGGGTCTGGGCTTCCTGCTGGCTAAGCATGGGCTCAACTCACTGAACTCTTTCTGGCACTTAATGAGAAATTATCAAAGACACTCGAATACCTCAGACTACCTTATCTATTATAGCCATTGTATAATGATATTGTTAAATGTGGAAAAGTGTTTCCTAATATAAACTTGGGCATGTATAAATATGTGTAAATATTTATGTGCATAAACATAGGTATGTATAAACATGAGTACATGCCTATGTATGTGCATAAACATGATCATATATGAATGTGTGTGCACACTTACACATGCCTAGTGTTCCTGATATTTCTCAAGAGCTGGTAAATTGAGATATCAGTGGAAGATCCAGAGACACAACTTCAGACTTTTCTTCCTTAATTCTGTGCCTGAATTCTCCATCCTGAATTTGTCCTATCCATGGCTAGTTTTGCTTTTTGTAACATTTCAGTGGTTACCTCTGCAGAATGACTTAAGACTCAGAGATCTGCCTTTTTTGAGATCATCTGAAGGAGACTCTGTAGCAGAGCTCAGGTGATTCACCAGTGCTGTAAACCAGTGTGGTGGTTTACACACACACACACACACACACACACACACATACACACACACCACACTCACACACACACACATGCCTTTGCCTCTGTCCCAAGCAGTTGCTTTTCTTGGTGTAGGCTCACTGTGACAAGTGTGGTGGGTATTAGGTTTATGGGGTTCAGAACATCCTGAGGTATTTGGGACTAACCAGAGACATATTTCCTTGATTCTCATCTGACTTTCTTTGACCTCTCACATTTGATTTTTATTTCGTTAAGGAGCTTACTTTAGATGGGTGAGAGGGTGACCTGCCATTCTCGGTATGCTCATGATCTTCGTCAGCAAACATCACTTTTCTTGGACATCCAAATTTTAGTTGATTTCTATGCGTATCTTATGAGATGAAAATGTGTTTATGTGATGTAATTTTTTTTCTTTTGTTTTGGCTTTTTGGGTCACACCTGGCGATGCACAGGGGTTATTCCTGGCTCTGCATTCAGGAATTACCCCTGGCAGTGCTCAGGAGACCATATGGGATGCTGGGAATTGAACCCGGGTTGGCTGCTTGCAGGGCAAACGCCCTACCCACTGTGCTATTGCTCCAGCCCCTGTGACGTACTTTTAATGATTCTCCCTGGCAAGAAATACTTGTGTGCTTTGGGGTTTATAATTAAGTTTATAATTAGTTTTTATTTGGGACTGCAGCAGTAGTAATAGGTCTTGATTAAATTTCAAATCTATTACTGATCAGAAGAAGAAAAATATATTACAAACTTCTTAAGCTTGGCGTAGGGATGTCTTTATATTTGAATGAGGATTATTCATCTAAAACTATTAGTGATTATCATAATTAATAAGCAAAGCATGAACCGTTTTCCATTATAGTCAGAGATAAGCTAGGAGGCTTGTTACTGAGGGACAAAGGAAAATTAGTAATAAAGATGAAAGACTAAAGTCACCAGCACTTTCAGATGAGCCTCTCATATTCCTGGAACTTTTCTAGAGACTCTGTTGGAACGATGGGGGTTAGGGGGGGAATGGTGCGCGTCAGCTGTCTCTGAGAGCAGGGCTGGCCGGGAGATTGCTTTTCTAGATCTCACAGTTTAAAAAAGAAACAAAAATGCGAATACTGAACTTAGATAAGTGTAGAACTTTGATGTGCTCTAAACATAGAGGTAAAAAAGGCTAATAAGGTGGCCCAGTAGGAAATAAATAGGTATAAAAATATTTTTTTCCAGAGGGGCAAAATCACTCGTGGCTACTTGACTTCAGTGATATCTTGCGAGTTTGTACTTGAATGGCAAGATAAAAAATAAACTAAAGATTATGGCAAACTAAAAAGTTTTTGCACAGTGCAAGAATTTTTTTTTTTTTTTTTTTTTGCTTTTTGGATCACACCTGGCAATGCACAGGGGTTACTCCAGGCTCTGCAGTTAGGAATTAATCCTGGCGGTGCTCAGGGGACCATATGGGATGCTGGGAATCAAACCTGGGTCGGCCACATGCAAGGCAAACGCCCTACCCGCTGTGCTATCACTCCATTCCCAGAAACAAGAATTTTAACTTCAGTGGTGAGAAAAATAAACAAACGTGCGATTATATCAAACAAATAATTCTGCATAGTGAAAAAAAGTTGTTTAAATTAAGACATGCACTGATGGGGAGAAAAATATTTGCACATCTGACAGTGTTAATACACAAAATAAAGAACTTTGAAAGACTCAACCATAAAAGAAAAATTAACCCATCCGAAAAAAATGGGGAGAACTGCTAGATCCATCACCAGAGCGATAAACAGATGGTCGGCAAGCACAGTGAATAGGCTCCTTACTTACTGCCACAGGCATGTGAATCAGAACTCCACTGAGATAGCATCTGATATCTGTGCAAATGTTCTGTACCAGAGAAGACAAACATGACGGAGACTAGAGTAAAAGGAACCTTTATGCGCTGTTATGAGGATGTCTGGCTTCCTTCGGAAATGATATGGCGACTTCTCAGAAGATCCGAAATACACGTGTGCCCCACAGCACAAACACAGGCCGATGCAGCTCGTGCCTGGCATGTGTGAAGACCTAAATTCAGTCCTTGACAAAGAATCCATAACTTGCTTATTTTATTAATCTTGCAGGGGTTTTCTAACTACATCAGCCACTTCTGTGGCCAGAAGTTGATGGAGGAAAAAGTTTATATATACTGTGCATAAAGCAC